TCATGATGTTCCTATTATTCGTGAGTTTGTGGATGTGTTCCCGGATCAGCTACAAGGAGGACCACCTCGCAGGCAGGTGGAATTTACTATTGATTTGGTTCCAGGAGCAGCGCTAGTGTCGAAGGCACCCTATCGGATGGCACCAAAGGAGTTGCAAGTGTTGAAGACTCAAATTCAAGAATTATTGAAACTTGGTTTCATCAGACCAAGTGTTTCACCATGGGGAGCACCAGTGCTGTTTGTCAAGAAGAAGGACGGATCCATGAGAATGTGTATCGATTATAGGGAATTAAACCGGTTAACGATCAAGAACAAGTATCCGCTCCCAAGGATAGATGATTTGTTCGATCAGTTGAGAGGAGCTTGCGTATTTTCAAAGATAGATTTGCGTTCAGGCTATCATCAACTGAAGATTAAGGAATCCGACGTAGTTAAAACTGCGTTTCGGACAAGATACGGTCATTACGAGTTCGTAGTGATGCCGTTTGGAGTAAGCAATGCACCAGCGGTGTTTATGGACTTGATGAACCGTGTGTTCCACCAGTATTTAGACCAATTTGTCATTGTCTTTATTGATGATATTTTGGTCTATTCCAAGAGTCAAGCAGAGCATGAGCATCATCTAAGGGTTGTCCTCAGTACCCTTAGAAAGGAGAAGTTATATGCCAAATTCTCTAAGTGTGAGTTTTGGTTGAAGAAGGTGGCCTTTTTGGGTCATATCATCACGGAGAGGGGCATTGAAGTTGATCCAGCGAAGATTTCTGCAATTCAGAATTGGACTGTGCCGAAGAATCCATCAGAAGTTCGAAGTTTTCTTGGACTATCAGGTTATTATCGTAGATTTATCGAAGGGTTTTCAAAAATTTCACTCCCTTTGACGAATTTAACGAGAAAATCTGTGAAGTTCGAGTGGTCTAGCCATTGTGAGAAGAGTTTCCAGGAGCTTAAGAAGAAGCTCACATCAACTCCAGTATTAATTATCCCTGATCCTTCTAGAGGTTTCACTATTTATAGTGATGCTTCGAAAAGGGGTCTTGGATGTGTTCTTATGCAAGACGGTCAAGTTGTTGCCTTTGCATCGCGACAATTGAAGCCGCATGAGCAGAATTATCCAACTCATGATCTAGAGTTGGCAGCAGTGGTGCACGCGCTCAAGAGTTGGAGGCATTATCTTTATGGTGGCCAGTGTGAGATATTCACTGATCACAAGAGTTTGCAGTACTTATTCACGCAGAAGGAGCTCAATATGCGCCAGAGAAGATGGTTGGAGCTAGTGAAGGATTATGATTGCACCATTCATTATCATCCTGGTAAAGCTAATGTTGTAGCAGATGCTCTAAGCCGTAAGGTTAAGGGTGAGTTGGCCTGTTGTATTACTCGACAGAACTGACTTGTTCAAGAGTTTGCTCGGTTGCAGATAGAAGTTGTTCAGAAGTTGCCCAAGGAGATTTCCGGAAGCATCAGTTCGATGCAAGTTCAGCCCACACTAAGAGATAGAATCCGGAAGGAGCAAGCGTTTGATCAATTCATTCGGAAGATAGAAGAGAAAGTTCGAGCTGGAGGAGTTGAAGGTTTTTACCAAGGTACAGATGGAGCCTTGGAATTTAGAGGAAGGATCGTTGTGCCAAAAGTCGAGGCCTTGCGAAAGGAGATCTTGACTGAAGCACACAGCGCACCCTATCAAGCTCATCCCGGAAGCACCAAGATGTATCATGACTTGAAAAAGTCGTTTTGGTGGAAGGGAATGAAGAGAAGTGTAGCAGATTTCGTGAAGAAGTGTTTGGTATGCCAGCAAGTTAAGGTCGAGCATAGAAGTCCATTAGGCTTGTTGCAGCCATTGGAAATTCCCAAGTGGAAGTGGGAAGAAGTGACTATGGATTTTGTTACGGGGCTACCTAAGTCGTCTGAGCAGCATGATGCGATTTGGGTAGTAGTAGATCGATTGACGAAAGTCGCTCGGTTTATGCCTGTATCAATGACCATGTCAATGGAGAAGTTAGCTGAGATTTATACTCGTGGAATCATTAGACTCCACGGGGTGCCTGTTACTATTATTTTTTACCGTGATCCCAGGTTCACTAGCGGGTTCTGGAAGAGTTTGCATAAAGCTTTGGGCACAAAGTTGAGTTTCAGTACAGCTTTTCATCCACAGACAGATGGCCAGTCCGAAAGGACGATCCAGACGCTTGAAGATATGCTTAGAGCTTGCATTCTGGATAGAGGTTCCAAGTGGGAGAAATGGTTGCCGTTATTAGAATTTGCCTACAACAACAGTTACCATTCATCCATTCGGATGGCTCCTTACGAAGCACTTTATGGCCGCAAGTGTCGTTCGCCCATTTATTGGGAAGAAGTTGGAGAGAAGCTAGTACTTGGTCCGAAGATGATCGAGGAGACAGTGGAGCAAGTAGCCTGGATTCGAGACAGACTCAAGACGGCTCAGAGTCGACAGAAGTCTACAGCTGATGAGCATCGGCGAGATATGCAGTTCGTAGAAGGAGATAAAGTTTTTCTTAAAGTTCGACCCATGCGAGGTGTCATTCGTTTTGGTAAGAAGGGTAAGTTGTTTCCCCGGTATATAGGCCCGTTCGAAGTTCTTGAACGAGTAGGGGAAGTATCTTATCGATTAGCTTTACCTCCTGAGTTGGCAAGTGTGCATAATGTATTTCATGTATCTATGTTACGTGCTTACGTGTGCGATCCTGATCATGTGCTTAAGCACAATGAGATTAAGATTCAGCCAGATTTGACTTACGAGGAGCAGCCTATAGCAGTATTGGACCGAAGGGTTCAAAGGCTCAGGAAACGAGATGTTCCTCTCGTTCGTATCAAATGGAATCGCCACGGAGATTCAGATGCCACTTGGGAGCAAGAAGCTGATATTAGATCTCGATTTCCAGATTTCGAGTTTTGATGTCAGGTATGTTTTCAGTTTCAGTATTCAGTTTCAGTATTTCCGAGG